AATTATCACATGCACGAATATGACCAATCGTTTAATTTCATGTGATCGATCATCCCTGTACTTTTATTGGACAGATCAGTCCTGAGTCACAAATTTCAAGTTTGGAAGTTTGTACTACCACAGTTGTCCACTATGCTTTGTAAATACTAATCTTGTTGCATGTTTAGTATGTACATAATTAAATCAAGTTTCAAATTAAGCAGTTAATTAAATATAAGAAAAAGCCTGTCATTAGAATTTCAATTATATTTTATATACAGTTAGCTGTCTATGGAAAATTCATCGAATAGCTAACTATACACAAAATATAATTGAAAGTCCAATGACAGATTTTTTCTTGGTGGCACTTATATGCTTTCTCATTGAATAAAGATTAAAAGATAGTAAGCATTTGCAATTTTTTTCAAAACTTATTTTTTATTTTTCATGAAAGCCTCTAGTATAAAGAATAAATAATAATTTATTGATTTCAAAAATAATTTGAACAATCTTGATTAATTGCAATTTTTTCAAGCCAAAGATAATTGAAATAAACTATTTTTTTACTAATAAATTAAATTTGTAATAAGCTTTATCTAAATATATCTGTTAAGTAAAATTTATTCCAGATACTTTTTGGTTTATCAATTAAGGTGCTTGAAAACACCCTTGGAAATCTTTTTGCATTTTTTTCAAATAAAATAATGCAATTTAATATTGCACAACAGAGAGTTTGTACAACTGCAAAAAGAGATCTCTAGATTCAAATCGGATTGAACCCAAATCTGTATAATGTGAATTCGAATCCTTGCTTGGATTCGATTCAAACTTTAGATTAAATCTGAATTTTTAGAAATATTCACTAGATTCGATCCATGCAAAACACTAATCAAAGCAATTGTTTTGGTAAAATTAGTTAATAGTGTAGTTTGTTAATTTAGGCCTAATAAAGTTTTGGCATGATTGCCAAATTTAAAAAAATAAAAATAAAAATATTTTAATAATTATCTAATAAATCTAATTAATTTTTTTAAATTGTAAATTTTTAAAATTTAAATTAAAAAAATTTTTATTAAATTTTATTAATTACAGTTAAACCTTGTTACAATCACTCTTAATATAGTCACAACCTTGATATAATTACATTATTTTTTTAACTTTAGCTATTATAAAACATATAAAATTTGATTTTTATACAGTATAGTTACAACTTTTTATATTGTAATTACCAGATTTTTGTTTTTCAAGCTAATAATGATAATATCAAATATATTACAAATATATTAAAAAACTATTTATTAAAAATTTTTTCATTTTAATTTTATAAATCTACAAAATTAAAACATTTTTGTTGATTTTAAGTAGGTAGTTATCAAGATATTCAAAATTCGAAAAAATTTTAATTAAAAACCATGATTAAGTTTTTTTCAAACTTTTGAGCAAAGGTCAATCAATAACTACCTATATATCTAAAAAAAAATTTTTTTATAGATTTATAGAATTAAAATAAAAAAATTTTTTTATCAATTTTAGATAAGATATCTTGATCAAGAATTATGTAATATTGTTACTAAGAATTGTCGATTTCGTCCAATCAAAACGGGATAATTCGTGTAGAATCTCATTTTTAACGACAAACTTTTTTCTTTTTACCGTAGCTAGGGTATAGACTAGAATCGTCCCAACGATGTTACGGCTTAAACCGTAACTGGTTACGGCAATCATTGGGACGCATCTCTAGTATAGACGTATAGACTACCCTCTTAAAATTGCGTAATAAATGGCGCTTCCTTATCCTAATGCTGTAATGCTAACAGATAAACACGAGCACGAATAACTAACATAGCCAAGAAACCGTTAGTTTTTTATTGTGTATTACAGTCTTATACGTAGTTTAAATTACAGATTTTATTTGGTTATCAATTCTCGAAATTTTATTGGCTACTCATATAGTAGTAGACGTCTTACCTTAAATTTGCCATAAGCAACTTTTAAAGTTTAATCGACGTTTATTATAACAATTTATTACTTGCTATTTGCAATAAATATACAAAAAAAAATAATAATCTTTTGTAATGATCAAAAGCTTATGCGTGAATTATTATCATTATAAGAAATAGCCTAAGGTGAAAAAATTAGCTTTAGTTGATTTTTCTTTCATTATCGGCCAGGATTATTATAAACGAAACGTCAATTTAAATTCCACAGACTGCGACATAGTTATCATCTTGAGTGTTGTAGAGTATGCCTTCAGATATCATAGTCTCAATCGCTTCCCTATTTAGATGTCAATAAGAGAAAAAAATCGCCAGAATAGTAAAACGAGGAAAATAAATTAAAACTACTTACTTGATCTTACTATCAGACCCGTATTGAAAACCAAGTGCACCACAGATACGTTCAATTGGAAGACCCATATGTGCATCACCGTTCTTGACAACAAATTCACGTATCTCAGTGTGTAAAGGGTCTGATAAAACATGAGAATTACCGACATAATTGTTGTTGTTATCGGTTGTTGAACTTTGTTGCTAGAAAAAAACCGAAAGAAAAATTAGCGTATAAAAAAATTGGTTGTATAAAAAAATTGATTGAATGAAGAAAATAGGAAATAACATACAAAACCAGCGCCACTATCAGAACGAATTAAGGATAGATGTTCATAAACTACTTCGCATAGATGACAGCTGATTTCATTGTAATCTTCGACTACACGAAGACCGTATGGTATGCAATTTAAAAAATGTTTTCCCTTGAAATTTTTTAGATTACCATATGCACAAATATAAGAATCGATTCTAAATGTAGTAAAAAATGTAGTAAAATAAGAATAAATTTTAGAGGATCAAGTAAAGTTTAAAAGTAAAAAATATCTCTAAATGATTACTGGATTTTATAAGCAGCCGAATTTTCTTTTTTTTCTTCAGATTCAAACCAAATCTTTGCATCCATAAAACCGGTACCATCATCTATTTTATATTCAATGACATTCTGACTCGATACATTCATATCTCTAACTGTGCCAATAATGCATATCTTTGTAATAAAAAAGTATATATATATATAAATTTGATCAAAATTTTTAAATATCAAATATTTTTTTATAAAATACATACAATATCAATTTTATGACCATCGATCAGATAATCTGAATCGGAATGTTGAGTAGCAGCATTGAGAAGTTGCTTAATGGTTACGTGGCGAACGCTTCTTTTTCGATCACTGGAGGGCTATAAATAAAATGTAAATGATATTTAAACACAGTTGTGGTAATGTGGTGACGTGTCATTAAACAATTTGAACCTTTGGATCGTGTGAACCACTAGCATAATCAGTTGTAAAACCACCAGTATTATCACCGTCATTGTAAGATCCATTGAATGAAGGCGTGTAACTGAAAGAATATTCTGAAAAGCAACCAAATAAGACGCGTCAAGAATATATCTTGTATAGTGAAAAGGAATATGTACACGAAAATGATTTTTACCCGTCATTTTTTTTAAGAAAACTACGCGATTTCCTCAGCAATTTAGAAGCACTCAAAGCCCGATGTCGAGTATATATACTAGATACGTATATCATATGATTTATTATTAATGTAGCACAAAGTTAGATAAGTTAGATCATAAGTTTATTTCTTTAAATTTTTTTTTTTTTAAAAATTTTGAAATACATGATATATATATTCTTAATTAAAATACATGATATATTCTTAATCAAAAATACAAAATACGAAATTACATAAAGATATTAAAAATCACTTTTTTCTAGTAACACCTAAATCTTCTAAATGTCCAGTCTCCAAATTAAAAATCCATCCATGAACAGCCAATTTTCGCTTTTCATCTTTCCACGCTTCTTTAACAATAATATTTTCAGAAATTTTATTTACTTGATTAATTACGTTAACACTTACTAATTTTTTATGAATGAGTTTTATTTCACTTTTGTTCAATTTTGATTCAGTAATTTGATCAGGAAAAAGTTCAGGGTGTGAATCTTTAATTTTACGTATGTCAGATAACCAAATTTTTAGATATTTATGAAGATGGTCATTACAGACATTTTGGATACCTCCACAATTAGTATGACCTATTATCATAATGAATTTTTATTGAATTAAAATAATATTCATAAATGAATTAATGAAATGAGTGAATAAGACTTACCACAGACTATAATATGTTCAACTTTTAAATTATGGACCGCAAATTCTAATTCAGACAAACAATTAGTATCATCTTCTTTAAATTGATTTGCGATATTCCTGTGCACAAATATTTCCCCAAATCCCAATTTGGTGATAATTTCTGCCGGTACACGAGAATCTGAACATCCTGATAAAAAATTATAATTGTTAAAACAAAGTCTTAAAATAAGCCAATTCACCCTAATTATAGGGGGTCTGAAGTAAATGATAATAATGTTATTTACCGATCCAAAATAATTTTGGCTCTTGTCCATTTGATAAGTTTTTAAAGAACTCTGAGTCTTGTAGTCGCACTGAATTTGCCCATTGTTTATTGTTATTAAGCACGTCTAAAAGACCATTCTCTAGATTTTTAAACGATCTGGTAATATCTAAAAAATTAGCATTTATATTAGGTTTAGGTTTTACTACGGAATGGTGTGGTGGATGATATGATATGATTGGAGAATGTCGAGATATAACGTTTTCTGTTTTTTGACTTTGGGAATCCTTATGCTGTAATCTTGGTAAAATTTCTGCAGAATTCGGTGAGGTCAATTTTTTAGATACTGCATCAGTTTGTCTCTCGATACCGACATTTTTTAATGATTGAAAACTTTTAAACCAATCCGTAATATGTGCCTTAACGTTTCCCTTTAAAAGTATTCTAACTTTGAATAATATATAGTGATCATGAAATATTAATTTTTACGATCGAATTCAACAGGTAAAATCCAAAAGGAAATAAAATTACATACCCATTTTGTTGAATTGTTTGAATTGTTTGAATGATGAAAAAAAAAAAGAACTTTAAAAATATATATTTATATTTATTTTTAAACGCGGTCTTGGTATAACAATTACATCAGATCTATTTAATAATTCAATAAATTAGATCTATTTTCACCAAATACAGTTATTTAATCTAATCAATTTGTGCTCTTGTCCAACTTAATATGGTGCAAAAGATCATCTCAATGTAGATACAAATTCCATATTTGTTCAACTCTACACTTGAATTTTATCTCTGCGCTAAATGAAAGATTTTAAATTACAGCCTAAGATTTCTTGTCGTATTACATCATTAATTTAATTTACAATGGCGATCTGGAGTATATATTATAATTCGGAGTTTACTAAATGTGTGTAATTGCAGAATTGTTCGCATGCTGAATGCCGAAAAATTTAGTGTCACATAGTGTTGAACAATATTGGTTATTTCTATTGAAAATATTGTTACACGACACGAAGAAATGCTTTATTTTTTATAATAAATTTTGATCTCAACCAATGTTTTATAAAAATTTTATCAATCTAATTTTTTAGATGAATAACTTTTATACATTTGGGATCAACTTTTTATTAGAAATAATCTTGCAATGTAGAAAATGTATATATGTGCATTATGGGTCATGTATCTCGACATCATATGTGTACATATGTATGTCATGAACGTCTTTATACGTAGCAAACTGTAAAAGAACTAAATTTAGATCAGTCGGTATGGTGTTAACGCTCGGATAAACTTTTTTCTAAAATATCCACATCGTTATAAAGTTGACGTAATACAGAAGAAGCCTTAAATTCGAATGTATCACCTTAGAAACGATAAATTTTCAATTTTGCTTTATTATAATTAATCGAAAACTAGTTTCGCCATAATATCACTAAAAAAGTTTCGTGAAAATATTCGCTTGTGTACCGCTGAACATATGTACGTAAAATATGAATACATACTATGACATATATGCATATCGTCCAAATTTCTTCTGAATTACGTCAACTTACTATCTGTGATATTTTGGAAAAAAGTTTTTCCAAGCCGAGAGTTAACACTTATTATACTGATCTAACTTTAGTCTCAGCTTTGTTAAAAAGACGTTCATTGACATAAATAAATATGTGCACATATGATGTCGAAAAATATACAGCCCATATGCGCATTTATGTTCATCGGATATTACAGTCCACTCTAGTATGTACACACGCACACTCATTTTTCTGCCAAGATCATTGGAATTTCGATTATTATAAAGTCAAGTCATATTATATACTGTATAAAGTATTAGGTTTTAAAAAAGTTTATATTTTAAATTTTGATCAAACGTATCTCAACAATCACCTGACAAAATTTGATAAACTTTTTTCTATTTGAATACATTTTGATAAAACATTTTTAAAGGGGGCTGATTTTTATACCCCCTATATTTGTTAACCATACCCCCTAACAAACCAAAAGCTTTGAGAAACGATATCTTGGCAACCACTTGATAAAATTTGATGAAAATTTCTTTATTTTGATCCTATTAGTTTAGTCGATTCGGATAAAAAAAAATTTTATCGAATTTGGTCAGGTGTTTGTTGAGATAGCATACTAGTAAACTAATAGTAAGATATGGATTTCCTTATGTCAAGAAAATGATCTACATCCGATGTAACACACAATTTTGATAATATTATATATATATATTG